AAGCTAATTAGTTTCAAACAAAATGAAGCACTGTTTAAGACTTAAAAAACATTATGGTGTTTCAGGTGAAACATATTGAAGATGGTGTGAATCCAATATCGGTCGGTGAAATATTTTTCAGTGGAAAATATCTTAGTGCTGGTATTAGGATTGGTCTAATTTCTGGTATGATAGCTCTCACGGTACGTGAATTTATAGAAACTTTTCTTATCTCTTTTGTTTCATAAACATTTATAGGAAATTTCAGCTAGTTTTCTTTAAAAAAATTATAGGAAGCTGTGGCTATTGGAAGAACATTTGCTGCTATGAAAGATTATTCGTTGGACGGTAATAGAGAAATGGTGGCACTAGGAACAATGAATATTATTGGTTCATTAACATCTTGTTATGTAGCTACAGGTATAAAAAAGAGGACTAATTCAATGAATCATGTTTTAGTTTCTATTCAGAATCTTGTGAACTATATGGCTGGTTGTAGAACTGCTGTATCGAAAATAGTTATGTCCATAGTGTTGCTGTTAAGAAGATATTGATGTAAATTAGGTGCAATTCTGTGTTGGATGTTGATTGTTGGTTGTTCAGAAGATGATATGATTTTTTCAGGCCAATATTTAAGGTTTCTTATTTTGAGGATGTTTTGATAAGTACGTACTTGGTGCTTTAGAATTAACATGCACGTGTTTGTTTGTGTATTAGTATTATTAATATACGTAATTTTGTTTATAAGTTGTTGGTATATTTTATTTGATAATTAGGGGTTTAATTTGGGTGTAATTTGTTGATTGAGTTGGATAGTCTGATTTGGGGGTAAATTATTAAATGGATAAACTGCATCTGATTTGTGTGATTATCCAAGAAAAAAAAACAACTTCTTAGGTCGGTTAATTATACCCGATTTAAGAAAGTAAGTTCTTAGGTCGGGTATAAATGATTTCTGCAGGCTAGACTTATTAAGTCGGGTTCTGCCTAACCGACCTAAGAAGTTGTTTCTTAAGTCAGGTCCACAACCGACTTAAGAAGTCAAAACTTCTTATGTCGGTAATTCTTAGGTCGGGCTCAGACCCGACTTAAAAAGTCATTTTTAACCGACTTAAAAATCCTTTTTTCCACTAGTGCCAGCTTGATGAGCTAGGCCTTCCACGACGGAGAGATGGACTGGGCCTACCCCGCGTGATGAGCGGGACATAGTAATATATATATATATATATATATATATATATATATATATATATATATATATATATATATATATATATATATATATATATATATATATATATATATATATATGTATATATATATATATATATATATATATATATATATATATATATATATATATATATATATATACATATATATATACATATATATATATATACATATATATATATATATATATATATATATATATATATATATATATATATATATATATATATATATATATATATATATATATATATATATATATATATATATATATATATATATATATATATATATAATATATATATATATATATATATATATATATATATACATATATATATATATACATATATATATATATATATATATATATATATATATATATATATATATATATATATATATATATATATATATATATATATATATATATATATATATATATATATACATATATATATATATATATATATATATATATATATATATATATATATATATATATACATACTATATATATATATATATAATATATATATATATATATATATATATATATATATATATATATATATATATATATATATATATATATATATATATATATATATATATATATATATATATATATATATATATATATATATATATATATATATATATATATATATATATATATATATATATATATATATATATATATATATATATATATTATATATATATATATAAATAAGAGTCTTAATCGGTTAGGTAAATAAATAAAATAATTTATTATATTTAATAATTAATTATTTAAATGAATATGTGCTTAAATATAAGTGGATGTCAAGATAATCCATTTCAAAATAATGAGAATTCTAAATGATCATCATTCTATATATAGGCTATTGATAAGTGCATATTTATGCACATTCTCCCACATTTTTACTTAGGCATTTCTTTATTTTATTTTGCTTATTATTATATTTTATTATGTTTTCATATTTTATTTTATTTTTGGTTTAATTTAATTTTCGCACTTATTTTTCACCTTTAGTAGTCTGCACGGAAACGATCATAACTCGAGCTCCGGGAATCCGTTTGAGGCGTTCTAAAAATCGCCGGAAAGCTAAGAGAGAGAGCTACGACTTTCGTGTTGGAGCCAAAGTCAGATTCGGAGCTCAAAATTCCAGAATTTCGTTTCAAGTTACAGCATTAGAATTTTATTTTAGAGTTGGGTCATGTTGTGGGTCTGGGTTATATTTTCGACCCAGTTGGGTTTTGAATCAGATCCATTTTTTTATCTTTTTATGGAGAACGTGTGTACTGTTCACGCAGTTATAATTCACGTGAAAAAATATTGTAGAGTTTTTACGAATCCTATGGAGAACTAATTGCTCTGAGTCGGTCTACCGTAATTCAGGTTCAAACACTTGAGATTATTATAATATTATTACTATTTGTTAATTCCGTTCAATAATTTTATGCTCTTGTATGCTTAATTCGATTGCATGATATTATTGATTTGATTTGGTTGCAAACGAAGGATGCAGAAATGAGCACAATAGAAGAAAGAAGTAAAAGTTCTGAATGAATAGACTCCTTCACTATTTATAAGCAGGCTTCAGGCACGTGCGCAAGCACACGCGCGTAGGGCATCATCGTGACCCTAGCCTAGCAATCATCATGCATTTAATGCAGCACGCGACTCGAGGCACATGTGGCATCCCCACTCTTCAGATCCCATCAACCTTTGGACTCCTTGGGTCTCAAGATCCCTGGCTCCAACGGCCACAAACAAATAGTCACCCGAACATGAAGAGACCTATGACGACTCTTCCCGGGAAGCAAGCCACCCTTAAGTCATCACTACCATGCTCGGTTAGCAACGACTTAGAGGGCTACTGTTTCGGACTGGCCCAATGGTCAGGAATGACCCAATCCACTTCTGCTCCCAGAACTGTTCAATCCACTTCTGCTCCCAAAACGACCTAATTCCCTATGTCCAACCTCTTTGGGGGAAGAATTTACCTTTATGTCCCTCCAACAGGGAAAGCTGACCCATTTACCCTTAGTCACAACACTTCTTCCTGTCAGTCTCTGCCCTTCACCTGTCAGTCTCTGCCCTTCACGCACGGTTCCACCATCCAGAAACAACCAAGACGCTTGTGCCCGTGACTGCATCTTTGCCCGTCGTAACGGCTAGTTATGGGCACGTCTTCCCGTCCCAACGACTATTTCTGGTAGTTACCTATTCTTCGAGAAACATTTATCTCGCCCCGAAAATAGGGACCAATGGCCAAGCGCTGGGGGCATTATAAAAACCCTCTCACTGAGAGGGTCAGGTATCCAATTTCTTACCTAGAAACACATATTTCGTACTTGCTCGCTCTCTTGCTCGTTTCCTTACTTTAGCATCGAACATGTGACAAGATACTTGATAGAGGGTGGCGAAATTTCCAATAATGAAAACCTAAGAGTGAAGTATTTCTCAATTTCACTCACCAAAAATGCTTTACTTGGTTTACAACACTTCCAGCAAATGCGATCCACAATTGGACTCAATTGGAGAGAAATTCTTTTAAGACTCAATTGGAGAAAAAACAAAAAAATAATAGTGTCATAGTTTTGATTGAAAAATATAGAAATTCTTTTAAGACTCAATCTCCGTGGAGATATGTGGGATGGGGAATAATATTCCTCCGTGGCAAGGAGTGGAGAAACATCCTCGGACAAGTCAAATTATAATCTTATTTATTATAAAAATAAAAACTATCAAATAATGAATCTAATATTAATGACACAATATTTAAAGATACAAACTAATAAAATTATTGTTTTACTAATCTGAATTTATTTACATAGCATCATCTAGTAGCTCAATTGATTAGAGTGTTGTGATAATAACGAGTCATATTTTTTATACATTTTTTCTTCAAAGACTTCTGATCTTATCTTTTTTTCATTATCCTATCTTATAATGTCATTACCATAATATACCTCTCATTTGATAAGATGATATATCTCTCATTTCATGACAGCTTATGGTACATATGAATTATACTATTCAAATTTCTTATGCTATTATGACGAGTCTCTAAACAATAGTCATTGATTTATTTTTGACAGAAAAATAAATTTGTAAAGGTATTGTTTTATGAAAAAAAATTATTAATTTTTTCAATAAAAATATGAGATTGTCATTTCTATAAATATTATTCTTCTACAATATTAATATATAACTTAACTTATTTTTAACTTTATAAATATTAGCACATCAAAGGTATTAATATAAAACTAAATTTATTTTGAGATTATATAACGATAAGAACAAAAAAATATAATAAGATTAATAATAAAAGTGAATCAATAAAAATATCAAATACAAATATTTCAAAAACATAAAACTAGAGGATAAAGATCCAAACTAATTAACCACTCTCCTTGATTCATTGTCCTTATGGTAATTACTCTTCACAATCAAAATACTTCAATTAGTAATTTGTTTTTCATTCAATTAGTAAATTAGTGATTATGTTTTCGTAACAACAAGTATTTTTATATTTTTTTTGTTATTGATACAATATGTGTTTTAAGTTTTTTTTAAAAAGGAAAATTGCAAAATATAGCTTCTTTTAAAAAGTAAAAAACAAAAAAATAATAGTGTCATAGTTTCGATTGAAAAAAAAGAAATTCTTTTAAGGCTCAATCTCCATGGAGATATGTGGGATGGGGAGTAATATTCCTCCGTCGCAAGGAGTGGAGAAACATCCTCGGACAAGTCAAATTATAATCTTATTTATTATAAAAATAAAAATTATCAAATAATGAATCTAATATTAATGACACAATATTTAAAGATAGAAAATAATAAAATTATTGTTTTACTAATCTGAATTTATTTACATATCATCTAGTAGCTCAATTGATTAGAGTGTTGTGCTAATAACGAGTCATATTTTTAATACATTTTTACTTCAAAGTCTTCTGATATTATCTTTTTTTTTCACTATCCTATCTTATAATGTCATTACCATAATATACCTCTCATTTGATAAGATGATATATCTCTCATTTCATGACAGTTTATGGTACATATGAATTATACTATTCAAATTTTTTATGCTATTATGACGAGTCTCTAAACAATAGTCATTGATTTATTTTTTGATAGAAAAATAAATTTGTAAAGGTATTGTTTTATGAAAAAAAATTATTAAGTTTTTCAATAAAAATATGAGATTGTCATTTCTATAAATATTATTCTTCTATAGGATTAATATATAACTTAACTTTAGAAATATTAACGCATCAAATGTATCAATATAAAACTAATGTT